TAGACTATTATACATTACAAAATTTGTGGACAGGTTATAGAGGGAATAATTCAAGTAGACTATTATACATTACAAAATTTGTGGACAGGTTATAGTAGGGATAATTCAAGTAGACTATTATACATTACAAAATTTGTGGACAGGTTATAGAGGGAATAATTCAAGTAGACTATTATACATTACAAAATTTGTGGACAGGTTATAGTAGGGATAATTCAAGTAGACTATTATAATCTACAAAATTTGTGGATTGGTTATAGTGGGAATAATTCTAGTAGACTATTATAAACTACAAAATTTGTGGACAGGTTATAGTAGGGATAATTCAAGTAGACTATTATACATTACAAAATTTGTGGACAGGTTATAGTAGGGATAATTCAAGTAGACTATTATAAACTACAAAATTTGTGGATATGTTATAGTGCGAATAATTTTAGTATACATTAGAAACTACAAAATGTGTGGACATCTTATAGTGGGAATAATTCTAGTAGACTATTATACACTCTACGAAATTTGTGGATATATTATAATAGAAATAATTCTAGCTGAGCTACATTCGTTAAATAAATGGTTATAATTTACTGTGACCAAAAAAAATATACATCTGTTTTAACATATCATAAAGTTCACTGACATTTTAAAACATCGTATAAAATCAAAGCTAAAACACTACATCTACATTTAACAAAGAATTTATCAGGTGATATCAATATCGGAATACTCGATTTCAATGCTTATATTTTTTTCACAGGGGACATGTCTCCTTAATTTGTTCAAGACTAGCATACTTTTTGTTATTTTGATACCTCATCTTCATGCATAGCCCAGCTATAAAACCTGTCTCCCATTTGCAACCAAAGTTACTCCACTCTTTGTATTTATTTTAAATTTGAATATATTTCACTCAAAATAATACTTAAGAAATAATAGGTATTTATATTTGAATAGTTTAATTGATGCGTTTTAAAAAATTGATCGTAAATTTGTCCAAAGCTTTAATATTATGCTGGAGGCAACTTATAAGTCTGTGATTAGCGTAACCATTTTCTTATATTTGTGTAAAATAGATATCATGTTGGATAAACAATCTATTGTGCAGTATTTTCTTTTGAAGTTGAAATAACACGTGCATCAGTGAACAGTGTTTTCTTGCAGTACCCTATAATTTGGTTACATCACATATTAATTAAACTGTGTTTGCCTTTCTAACATCAAAATTGGAAGGAACTATTAAAGCACTGCTCTACGTCATAGTATTGGTTAGTCAATATTGTATACTTACGAATCAGTTAATTGTGTATTTCTCATGGCTTTTGCTAAATAAAACATAGCGTTTAACGTGCTAAAACAACAAAATAAGTAACACCGTACTTTTCAGATTCTAAATTATGTACATTCAAACGTTTTTGTTGTGGATCAACCCGCTGATCTAAACATTATATTACACTGGATTTAACTGTGCAACGACGACACCATAAGTGAAAAGTGCTCCACCTACGCTCAATAAAAGAGGTTTGTCCAATGAAAAGAAGTTCCAGGCAGTCAAATTCATTTTACTTGCCATCAGATCTAGGAACAAAGAATGGATTTCAAGATCTTTATTTATATCATCCGTGCAGTTATTTTCTTCATTTACCATTGCCCGAATGTGTTGAAATGATTCTCCTGAAGCCCCAGAAAGCCCAGCAGCATAGAAGGTTATAGAAAGGAAAAATATGGTTGGAAATGCGTCGAGAATGAAGGATTCGAGAAGTAACTGGATTATAGCGTCGTTACTGATAGTGTAAACAAGACAAATGGTCATTTGTACAAGAGATGCGATAACAAAATGCGAAACCCATACGAACACGTGTGGAGAAAATATGGAATCCAGCTGAGAAACCGCGTTTTCAAAATTACAGTGGTCTCTCCTCAAAATCTTCAAAGTTTTTAGGTAATTCAAGCTCCTGACACCACGTTGAACTGATTCTCCTACGTCGCGTGCTTTCTGGTTCCAGGAGTCAACCGCCGTTTTGAGGATAGTGCAGAAAGAAATGTAAAGCGCTACTGTACCAGACATCACTCCCCACTTTACGAAGATGTCTAGAGAATAATCGATACACACAAGGGTGTAAAGAAGAAACGATGGGACTGGCATAACTTTCATCCCAAAAAAGCTTTCTGATAAAGATGTTTTCAAAGGAACAAGCAAAATACTGATCACACATGCACCGATAACGGAGATCAAAATTGAGGCTTTGCACATGATGGTAATATATCTTAATTTTTTTGTAATCAAAACCTTTTGAGGAACGTCCAGAGCTGGAGCGATGGATTGGTTGAGAAAATTTATAAATTCATCTAGAGGTTTTTGTCGACGAACCAGGATATCTGCTGTGATGGTAGCTACAAGAGATGTCAAAAAATCATTCTGAGTATTTCTTGAGATTTTGGAGGTACTTCCAGCAAACCATTGGTAACCGGTTGCTAAGATGGTTCGAGCTAACGCAAGGTGTAAGAGCACCAACACAAGAGCTCTACACCAGCGAAATCTTGTAGGAACCTTTTCAGTGGTGCTGTCCAAAGAAGGAGGCTGAAACCCCAGAATCTGCCTAAGACCATTCAAAGCGAAAAGATCCTCTGTCAGATTTTTCTTGTTTCTGTGGTTTTGATCATCTATTTCAGTTGTCAATGACGGTGCCGGACTTACTGTAAACACACGTCTCATCTTTAACGAGGAACGTCAACTGATTATCTAACATGGAAGTAATCTGGAGAACTATACATTTTTTTTTTGTGTGTGTCTCACATTTTGACCAATAAGATTTAACTTGAATTACCAAGTTCTCTGACGTCACGTTACCTAGTAACTGTAACAGTTTGTAAATAACGGCTCAAGACAAGTTAGTGTTAGAACCTGCTGTCCAATAAATACAGTTTAATTCAGTATCTTTTTTTTTTTACCAGTGGCATTAGGGACGTAAGGTTAGATGTTTCATGTGATATGTTGATCAATTTAAGTACATTTTTAGAAAACAAGGAATAATATAGGTTTTCAACCGTTAAATCTATAAAAATTCGTTCTTTGTTGAAAATGTATATAAGCATAAGTTAAACATAACATAAAGTCCAGCATGTGCATTAACTCACGGAAACTGCACGTTAAAGTTCGATAACAACTGTTTTTTTTTATTGTTTATTTAACACACACACACACACAAAACAACAATTTCTTAATCTAAGGACGTGGACAAAATATTTATATAATTCCAAATAGTTAACTTAAAACGTTACAATCTGTACTATGAAGAGCTCATTGTAACAATTAAAACGAAAATCTACACAACTAGTATACCTACTGAGCAGGGTTGACTAATACACGCAAGAGTTAAATTAGAAAGCTTGCTTCCAGATTAGAAAAGGTATTTTTATAAGCATACAAAACAATCGTAAAATAAGATATGCGGATATTGTTAACAGCGAGGGTATCGAACTGATGAAATAGTCCATTCTAATATTTATAATGTTTAGGCTTGTTTGTTTGGAATTTCGCGCAAAGCTACACGAGAGCTATCTGCGCTAGCCGTCCCTAATTTAGCAGTGAAAGACTAGAAGGAAGGCAGCTAGTCATCATTACCCACCGCCAACTCTTGGGCTACTCTTTTACCAACGAATAGTGGGATTGACCGTCACATTATAACGCCCCCACGGCTGAAAGGGCGAGCATGTTTGGTGTGACGGGGATTCGAACACGCGACCCTCAAATTGCGAGTCGAGCGCCTTATCCACCTGGCTTATTTTTTGTAATCTTAATTGTTACATGGTCTATTTTTTTGTTCAGTCTTATATAGCAATTGTAAATTACGTTTTTGTTGCTAAGCGTAACGACATCAACTTTATAAGTTCTAGTAATGTATTATTTAAATTTAAAGCGTATTTACTTATAATATTATTTTCTTCCTTCGGGAATGATGGCAGCTTCAGACGCAGGACCTATCACAAGAAAGCAAACAGACATTTGGCTAGTAAGCCAGCCTTCAGGCACTCTCAATTCAATCAAGTTACTATTAACAAAAGACGTTTTGTTGCTGTTCATGCACTATGTGGATCAAACTATTCGAGAAGAATTACATTCTACTGCTGGTGATATTATAGTAGTATGGGAAAAAGCTTGTATACCAACAAGACTTAAGATACATATAGTGAAAGTATTTTTAGAGAATGTGCAAGACTAAAGACGAATAGGGAGAATAAAGCTAAGTGGTCAATTTTTTCTCAAACAGAAAGAGGAGAGTTGAAAGACTGACTTGGAAGATTTATTTCTAATTGCTCGTGCTGATACGTTAAATATGATCAAAATTGCAGAAGATCGAGAATACGTGTTAGCTCAACGTGAAAAGGGTAGACGATGTAATATGATGGGTGTTGACCAAGTGCAAGCAGAGAAAAGAATGTTACAAAAGAAGATCGAGAATTCGTGTTAGCTCAACGTGAAAAGGGTAGACGATGTAATATGATGGGTGTTGACCAAGTGCAAGCAAAGAAAAAGAATGTTAAAAAAGAAAACGTGTCTATAAGGACAGAGTCTAACAAGAAAAGTTGAATTAAAAAATAACGAGAAGAAAAGGTTAGCCTCGTGTTGTCTTCAGAGTCCTCTGAAATGGTTGCCGAAACAGCTGAAGACGAAGAGACACCATGTAACAGTGGTCAATCTGTAAAGCCAATAAAGCGAAAACTATTATTAAACGACAAGCTATCTGCTTCTCTGGATGTAACCAAGGTCGGTGACAGACATGGGCGTTCGTAGAAATTTTTCCAGGGGGGTGGGGGCAAAGTGGTGTCAAATTGTGAATTGAATAAAAAATTCATATACATATGCTGAATGAATAAAGAAAGAGTAATGTTTCTCATTTTCCACATCTTATTATTTTGTTCACATGTATATGTATCCCTCATTGAGTCAGGGTCTGCAAGTTTACTGAACTACAACGCTAACATTCGAGGTTCGATTTCCCACAGTTTGGACTAATATATTGTTACGTCTCCGTTCGTTCGTTAATTAATTTTCCATAAATTCGTTCCAACGAAACTTTAGCGACACAAGTCCTTTCTTAAATAAAACTGGTTTATTCTTTCCTAATACAACTTTACCGATGCACTTAATTTCAACAGTTGCTCTATAACAACGCTATAATTCTCAAAAAACGTCTCACGTGCTCGTGTTCGACAATACTCAGTTCAATTACACACTCTCTGACTGCAGTTCAATTACTCATTGTCTCCCCCGTCGCTTCGTGGCCGGTCTTATATATACAAGACTACACTATATCTAGAAAGATCACGAGATTTAAGGAAAAGACGTGAAAGTTCGAGAATGACGTGGCGTGATACTAGTCACGTGACCTCGATGTAGTAACAATATATATCTTACGTGACCACAATGGAATGCTCACTACAGGAAATATGTTTTGCTTATTATTTCCCAGTATTATGTTCTATGCTTTTTTCTTTTATGTGCGATCCTTTTCGCTTGAAATATGCGTATTTCCATATTAAACATAGGCAGGTATCTTTCTAGGCATACTTTAGTGATACCGTTTGTTTACGATGACTGACCATGTGTATTCGTCACCAGAGTTCGTTATTCGTTTGTTTGCTCTGCCTTTTCGAATTTCTTGAGGCGAAACGGTTGTTTGGAAGGCGGTATTTTAATTTTAGTTTATTCAAAAATAATTACTTGGTATTAAAATTATTATTATTTATACTTTCTGTCTAATTTTTAAGTGTTATCAACCTGGCTGTATTTTATCAATGACCAGTGAAAACAATATCTTAGTAATAAACCTCAATTCTTGCCTGTTTATTATGACGTACTTTTTTCTGCCCCGGAATGTCTAATTTGTACTCTCTTTGAAATTTCTTCTCCAACTGAACTTAGTAAAGGCATCAAAACTTGTATATGTAAATAATGTAGCTCCACACAAATCTCCAGACGTAAAGTTTATCCACTAAGCAATTTGGGTTCGTGGCGTTATCTGGTGGTATGAATATGAAGTTTTGCTTGGAAAACAACTTTTAATAAATAAATTTTTTGAAGTGTGTGTGTGTGTGAGAGAGAGAGGGGGGTAACACTTTACTTTTGTTCCTGAAATTTATTAGACGTTCAGTAAAAATGCTACAAAGAATTTACCACTCGGCCACACTTGTGAAAAACATTAACGTGACTTATAAAACCTATAGTATGAAACACTAACAAATTAAATATTATACACTACTGCTTAACAATATTACAGGGAACTACATATCAACACCAATATGTGTACCAAATCCAATAATACCAACATCATCAAAACGTTCTTGGTGTAACTAAAATTAACCAAAACACAATTTTTTCAGTGATTATTGCTATTGCTAAGTGCCATAAAACACTATTACATGTGTGAACACTTCAGTCTTCTAATCATTATGCACTTTGAGTAATAATATGCATCCTCAGCCTCTGGTTATCAGGTTGGCACAGCATCAACTATTAAAATCCTCATGTGGAACGTGTAAAGTCTAGAGACACAAATTTCTAATTGGCTGTGAATCTATAGGAGTTTAGATTATCATTTTGGTGCAACTAGTATATTGGATCTGCTACTCAGGTACAGGAAATCATAATATAAAAAGTGAAATTGTCCTTAAATAACTTTCATCACTGCTAACTGCTAATTTATCTGAAACTGTTCCAAATACACATGTATGCATTTCAAACTGTCACTGGGTAACAAATCAAATTAAACAAAAATATCTAGTTTATAACTTTACATAAATGTGAGGATGAAGTTATAAATAGGGCTTTAGGACTAAATGCTAGGCTTAGGTTAATATGTAAGGATGAGATGATTGGTTGGTTGGACTTGTAGGATCAGTTCAATGGAAGAATGGAGCTTTTTGTAATGGACGGTTTCCATTTAATTTGGATAGGGGCTGGCTTGTTTGCAAGGGCTATTAATTCAGCTGTAAGGGAAGCTTTAAACTAGGACTAGACAGTAGTGAAGGCTAGAAGAAACTAAATGTAAAACAAATAAGATGTAGAGAAAAGTTTAGCATAGGAAATGAGTATAGAAGTAATTCTAAGGGTAGGCCTAATTGTTACCATTGCAATGCTAGAAGTATCTGTTTATATAAATATAAGAGTACTGTCTGTTCTCTGTCCATGCACCTACTTTGCAGGGTGTGTATGGATATTCAGCAAAATTGGTATGGGGGTTCATTAGGTCCATGGGGAGATACATACAAATTTTGCATTTTGTAGTTTTTATGGGCCTTTTTACCACTACTTTGCCCACTGTAGATGGATATTCAACAAATCTGGTATGGAGGTTCAGTGATTTCATGGGGGGTACATACAAATTTACAATTTTGCAGTTTTTATGGGCATTTTTTACAATTACATATAAGGAAAGCAACTTTTCATGTCCTAAGATAACTTTTCATTAATCATAAGTTAACATAATTTCCATCCAGGCGACGAGTACTCCAGCTAGTAAGAAACACAATAGATGACTTTAGAGTGCTGGCATGAACAGAAGATTTTGATATAATTGGAATAACTCAAACATGGTTAAACAAAGATGTTTTGGTGACAGAAATTTCGTTGAAATACAGGGTTACAGGTTATTTAACAGCGATAGAGTTCTAAAGATGGCAGGATTTTATATGTAAAATATGAGTTTACATGCTATTGAAGTCTTGGGACAACAAAGGACCTATTATTGGTCCATCTCAGCTGTCCCATCCTCTAAACTAAACTAAAACTATTAAAATATATTTTTTTTGAAATCTTAAAGTCAGCCCTTATCATTCATATATTCATCAAGATTTCTCTTAAACTCACTTAAATTTACTGCCTCCACAACATCAGAAGGCAACCCATTCCAAAGGCCAACCACCCTGTTATAAAAAATAAAATGTGGCTGAAAATGGCTCCTACTCTGTCAAAATCTACATTTATGTCTCCTAGTACTACTATTCTTGCTGTTAAGTATGAAAACAGATAATGCATCAATATTATAATTCTCTTTACAATCTTAAACACCTCAATCAGATCCCTCCTAACTTTTCTTTTTTCAAGAGAAAATTTGAGAGATCTCAATCTCTCCTCATATGACAACCCCATCAACCAAGGCATCATTCTAGTAACTCTTCTCTGAACCCTTTCCAACAATTCAATGTCTTTCCTAAGGTAAGGAGCCCAAGATTGAACACAATGTGCCAAATTTGGTCTAACCAGTGATTTATACAGTGAAGTTGTAGCCTCTTTGGACTTGTATTCAATATTTCTGTCAATACAACCTAAAATCCTATTTGCCCTACAACTAGTAACAGCACACTGCTTGGATGGTGTAAGAGACTGATAAATTATTAAACCAAGATCCCTTTCTTTCATGACACTGTTAAAGGTTATTCCCATCCAAATTATACTTATAATTCAAATTATGATTAGCCACATGCATTGACTTGCATTTATTATCATTAGAACCCATTTGCCATTTATTTGCCCAACTCACTAAATTATCTAGATCCTTTTGTAAAGCAGAAGCATCCTCTTCACAGCTGACCCGGCATGGTCAGGTGGTTAGGGCATTTGACTCGCAATCTGAGGGTTGTGGGTTCAAATCCTCATCCCACCAAACATGTTTGCCCTTTCAGCCATAGGGGCATTATAATGTGGCAGTCAATCCCACTATTCTTTGGCAAAAAAGTAACCTAAGAGTTGGAGGTGGGTGGTGATGACTAGCTGCCTTTCCTCTAGTCTTTCACACAGCTAAATTAGGGATGGCTAGCACAGATAACCCTTGTGTAGCTTTGCGAGAAATTCAAAACCAAACCTCTTCACAACTAGTAACACCCAAATTTAAGTAGTTTGTTGATCATTCTTACATCTACATCATTGATGTAAATAAAAAAAATCAGAGGTCCTAAGACTGAGCCCTGAGGCACTCCATTTGTAACATTAATCCATTTTAACTGAACTTCATTTATAACAACACTCTGATTTTTTCCCATCCAGCCATTCTTCTCTCTAATTTGCTAACTTATCCCCCACACCTATTGAGATATTTATTTTACAAGCCTTTTGTTTGGGACCTTGTCAAATGCTTTCTGAAAACTGGGATACCCCAAATCTCCATAAGCAGTAACCTTTTCGAAAAATGTCTAAAGATTTATAAGGCAAGATTTTCTCTTAGTGAAACCATGCTGACTATCCAATAAAATTCTAAACTTTGTTAAATAGCTTTGCAAAGCATCTTTTATCAGACTTTCCAAAACTTTTCTCACAACTGATGTAGGACTAATGGGTCACTGGGACAATTTTTATCACCTCCCTTAAAAAGAAGAGTGACATTAGCTAACTTCCAATCCTCCGGCACCTGCCCACTATGCAAGGACTTACAAAAAATAGTAGCCAGTAGCTGACACATCCAATCCTTAACCTCCTTCAAAACCCTTGGGGAAATATTATCTGACTCAGGAGCCTTATCATTCTTTAAATTTCCCAATTTTTTTTAACAAGCTTGATCTTGTTTCCATTTATCAATTGTTCAAGACATGGAATACCGCTTAAATCTTCGTTAGTAAAAACTGAAGAAAAAGCAAAATTTAATAACCCAGCCATCTCATAATCATCAGATATCAACCTTCCTTTATCATCCCTCAAGAATCCTACTCCTATTTTAACATTTTGTTTACCCTTAATGTATTTAAAGAATTCCTTACTGTTAATTTTTACATTTTCAGCTAACCTTTTTTCATACATCCTTTTTAATGTCCAAGTTTCCTGTGTAACCAGCTTTCTTGATTTTTTGTAATCTTCCTTCATACCAGTCAATTTAAATTTCTTAAATTTATGCTACTTTTCTTTAATTTTATATCTTATACTCTTTGTGAGCCAACCTGGTTTTTTATTTGCAGCCACCCCTTTTCTTTCTATAAGGAATATTGTTATCTTGAATATTTAAAAATTTTCCACATTTGATCAGTGTCTCCAAATAACTCAGCTGCCCAATTTACAACAGATAATTCATGTCACATCTCTTCAAAAATTTGCTTTTCTGAAATTTGTAACCAAAATATCATTATTCCTTATCTCCATATGCAGCAAA